TTCGACCACTTTGACGTCGACAGGGCCGAGGCCGAGGAGCACAAGGGCTACCAGGGCCTCGACGTGTCGGCCAAGAACAACGACAAGCTCTTCCGCCCGCTGCTGCTGCAGTGGTCGCGCCTGCACACGGCCGGCCTGCTCGCCTTTTTCCGCCTCTGGAAGGCGACGGGTGCCGCGCAGGGCGACTTTGACAAGGTCACCGAGCTCGTGCGCATCCTCGTCGAGCAGGTCGTTGGCCGTGCCGCCCGCACGCGCGACGTCCTGGAGGTCGAGGACGACCTCGCCGAGCACGACTGCGCCCGCCTGCGCGAGCTCCAGATGGAGCTCCTCGAGCTCTCCTTCGAGGACGCCTGGGGCCAGCACCTCTACCAGGTCCGCGAGGAGCTCAAGCAGGAAGCGCTGCAGTTCGTCAAGGAGCAGCGCGTCCGCTGTCTGCTCCAGGGCGCCTGGTTCTCCAAGCCCCTGCCGCGCCGCGACACCAACGCTACCGAGAGCGGGGGACGAGCCCCCGCGCCGCAGGTTCTACACGCCCATGCCCTGGTGCTTCGCCAAGCTTCTCCCCACAACCGCCGCTTCCTGCACTACGCCCGATTTTCGTGACGCGCACCCCAGAACCAGGCCTCGACACGCTGACTGAAAAAGTCGACCTCGGCACCATCTCCTCCGTCGTCTCCAACGTCTCAGCCCCCGACGACGCCGCCAGCGCCGCGACCGTCAAGAACCTCCACGTCAACGGCCACAGCCACAGCCACACCCACGTCAACGGCCACGGCGACGCGACGCCGACGCCGACGACAGCCGCCGCCGGCCTCACGGGCTCGTCGACCAAGATTACCATTTTCCGCTTCGCCGACCCGTCGGACCCGAGCGCCGGCGAGTCGGCCGTCCTCGCCCTGCACCCCGTCAACCACAGCGCCGCGTCCGAGTGGCTCGACGGCCTCCTCATGCTCCTCAACCAGGCGCCCATCACGGCCGAGACGAACAAGCTCGTCGGCCTCGTCAGCGAGTACGGCCTCAAGATTCGCCTGCTCAACGTCCGCGTCGAGGCCGCCTACGCGGGGCCCCCGCCCGGCGCCGGCGTTGTGCCGAGCCGCGCCGGCCTCGACGAGGATTACTACTACGAGGTGTAGAGATACGGCAGCATAGAAAGGTATCATGCTGCCCCCATTTTCTTTTTACTTTTCCTCTCTTGCTTTTGTGGAGGGGGTGCTGCGCGTCTGGCTTTGAATTATACCCTCTAGTTTGCTTGCTTGCTGCACGGCCAGGGACGGGGGGGCGGAAGACGAGAAGAGAAGAGAAGAGGAGAAGAGGAGAAGAGGAGAAGAGGAGAAGAGAGGAAGAAGGAAGAAGGAAGGGAATAAACGAACACGAGGGAAAGGAGATTTCTCCGCGCACCATACCATAACGAGGACGGTGCCTCGCAAGAGGCTCATACATACCCGGCGACCTCCTCGTCACCCATTCTTTTTCTTTCTTGCATGTTGTTTTCCCCCCCTGCTGCTTGTGGATAGTCTGGACGCCGAAAGCGTTGTGTATAATGAAGAGGATATACCCATGGCAATCAACGTGTTACGGTTACGAGGACGGCAACACAGTGATGATATATGGCTTGCACCATGTTGCATGCGATGTGACAGAATACAAGAGCAGTTCATCTTATGAACCCGCAAGGCTTTGAAGACCAAGCTTTTTTTGAACTACGATTCCGACCAGACAACGCTGGAGTGCAATCTCCCAATGCCCGGACTGAGCAATGCTCCCTGACCAGAGGGACACCACTCTTGTACAACGGGCATCTATCTCTCTGAGTTGTGAGATGTCCTGATTCGAACCACGCACCGAAGAAAAGGCATCAGAGATATCAAAGCTTGACATATCAGCTGTCAGGCCGAGTCCAGATCATACTACGCCCGTACCCTCAACGCCAAACTCAGGAAAGACGCTACCTGTTGGACGCAAACGTGCCAAAATTACCCAGAAAAGCAACGTGCTCATCCGTAAGGGACGACCTAGAAATAATACTGCTGCTGCGGCTGTCCTGGCGGCGGATGAGCCGTAAAGTCCAAGTTCATCGCATCAACCCCCGAGTTCCACGGATCCGGCGACTCCCACCAGATCGACTCGTACAGGTCCATCGGCGACATGTACGTCGCCGGATCAATTCCCGCGAGTCCGTCAAAGCCCGGGCCTTGCGGAGGCGGGTATACGCCGGGCAAGCCGGCGGTGTAGTCGTTCGGCATGGGTGTGCCGTTCTGCTGCATTTCTGCCATGGCGAGTGCGGCATCCTGGTGAGGGTCCAGAGCCGCCGACGCTAACGGATTTGTCGTCGGCGCGAGTGCGTTGCCGTTGGAAGGTTGCGAAGGAAACGGAGGCTGGTGCAATAGCAACGGCGTGCGGGCCCGCTGGCGACGCACCTGCCAGCGTCAGACTCGCGCTTGGCCGAGGAGCCGACGACCGAGCCGTGCTCGTAAATGTTGCGCAGGGCCGTAAGCGCGCGATGGAGAGGCCCAGAAAGCTCAATATCCTTGTCCGTCTTGGGAATGTGTGCCGAAGGGGAAGTCTCCTTGGCAGCCGTGGCTGAAAGAGCAGCAATGAGGTCGCCCTGGAGCTGGCGAACGTCGGGACTATTCTTGGTCTCGGCTAGAATGCCGAGAAGGAGGGCAGAGGAGAGACCATGATAGGTATAGGCCCAGGATCGTGTAGGGATCACAGAAAGCTGGTGCATGGCGAGGAACATGCGTACCGTCTCGATGAGGTTATGCTGGCATTTTTCGGAGAGAAACTTTTTCTGCTCGGGACTCAACTGCGTGCAGTCACGGTGAAGGGCGGGGCGACAGCAGACCGAGATGACGAAGGAAGAGTGTAGACGGATGCCGTAGTACTGCAGGCGATCGATGACGGATTTGCACTGGTCCTTGAACTGAATGTTAGGCGCGATCATGGTGCGCAGAGATTCAACAGCTTGGCAGTTGTCAACCATCTGCTCGTAGGACACGGCGGTGGTGATGTCAGGATTGAGGCGGCGTGAGATGATCTCGCACAAGTGATACATGGTTTCAAGGTAGGTGTAACTCCCTTCACCAATGTCTGAAGCCGTGGGTATCGGGCAGCAGGGGAAATTGGTCATAGGAGAGCGATCGAAGGAGAGAGAGGTGAGGGTGTCATGCCAGACGCAAGTCCACCAGAGCTTGCGACGAATCATTTCTCTGGTTTTGAGATGAGGCGGCAGGCTTTCCCGATCATCCTGGGTGAAAGGCCGGTGAAGGCCGAGCGACTGCGCCAGACGGCATGTCAACCCGAGCAGAGCCCAGGACGCTTCGGCCTTCATGTCGTTCAACAGGACGAAGCCGGTGAGGAGGAGAGCTTGAATTGAATCAAACGTGGGTCGAAGGAGAAAGTTGCCGAGACGGAGGAAATGAAAGGATATTTGAATGTACTTTTGCGAGTCCCTTGTCCTGATGTGAAATGGGGAGTCATGGTACTGAGACCCAACGGCGAGAACGGCAAAAAGGATGGCAAGCCAGGACGCCGAGACGGGTTTCGTGGTTTTGGTTGAGTTGCGCGCGTTCCGAGCCCTGTCCTCGAGATAGACCATGAGCTTTGATTCAAGATCATCAATGTCGACGACGAAGCCCCAAAAGGCTTGAGGCGTCTCCTTGTAGGTGCGAAACAGCTTCATGACCTCACGGTCGGAGGGCAGTTCAGATGAGATTTCTCTCGTTAGGCTGTCCAGGTGGCGTGACGACATGAGGGGAAAGGGTGCCGAGGTGTCGAGGCCGAGAATGGAACGCATGTCTTGACGAATATCGCCGCCCTGGTGGACGTCGGCTGACGAGGATTGTTCCCGCAGCAGTGAAGGGATGCTGTTGTGACCGAGATAACGTGTAATGCTCTCGGGAGCCTCGGCCTCATCGACACTGGCAAAAGCGCGTGGCCAACTCGGCTGGCGCTGTGATGGTGTCCGGCTGGGATCATCAGTGGCAGGATCAGGAGAATGTGGCCTCTTGCGCGTGCCGGAGCTCTCGCCAGTGGCAGTAGAGGCTGTTTTTGTCGTCGTCGTCGTCGTCGCTGTTGTTGTGAGCTTGCCAGAGGATGTGCGATTGGGCTTGTACGAGCAAAGCTGGGGGTGGTCACGCTTGACACAGTTCTCGCATGGTTGTTGGTTGTCACACTTGACCTTGCGCTGTCGGCATGGCCAGCACGCGGTGCCGTAACGGACCTTGCGATGAGAGTGGATGATGCGGTTTGCTTCTTCGGGGGTGAGGTTGTCGAGCGAAGGATGGGCGGGATCTGGAGTCGAGCGGGCATCGGCGCCGGGCTGGGCGTCCCGTTGCCTTTCGTCTCCCTTCTGCATGGTGGCTGCGACGGAGACGGAGACCGGCGTCCGTATCACAACAACGCAGAAGCCGATTCCGTGATGGTATTGATGGCGGTTTGGTGGAAGTGCAATCCCGAATAGCGAATGCCGAGGGGGGGCTGAGGGGAAGGTAACTTGGAGCTCCGAGTACCTACCTCGTGGTGTGTGGGCTCAGGGTCGGAGCTTGGAGCTTCAAGCAAGGAGAATCTCAGCAGAAGCCGTGCGCGCCTTAGCTAGTTCGCCTCCTTCCACGCGATGGGTGAATGAGAATGAGACGAGGCAGCTGCAATCGAATTGAGACTGATTTCATCATCTCTTCATGCCCATCATTGGTACCACCAGAGTTCCACTGAGGGGACTAGACACAAATCGGCAGTGGAAAAGCTTGGCGCATCACCCTTGCGGTCCACGGTCCTAGACCCCTTCCTTTGCCTTACTCAGCAGCCGCCGACCGTGAGGGACGGAGGTCCGCAAGCGTCGCACCTGCCTCCATTCAGTGCCTGAATAACGTACCTCACAGGAGGAAGGCCACTAACAGACAGCTAATCGAGCAACCCAGTAGCCCGCATCCAGCAACCCGCCTCCAACAGCCCGCACCCAGCAAGCACCCAAGCACCCAAGCACCCAAGCACCCAAGCACCCAAGCACCCAACAAGGCAGACTCGGACTTTTGAACGTTTCCCAGCCACCTCGCCCCGTAGTTAACCGCCTACCCTGCCGCATCGATCCACTTCCACTTCACTTGTCAACCTCACCTGCCCTGACACTGCCCTTGTCACCATCTATGCCCTCATCGTCACTTCACTGCCATCTGTCTACCAGCAACGTATAACCTCACCACGTCTCCCACATCCTATCGTCCTGACCAGTTCCGCTTCAGTACTGTCGCAATTACGACGGTCTGCGTGTTCCAAGCCCTCATGCGCTGAGGCAAGACCGGACGCCCATGGGTCGTCGCCTGCCGTGGAACCACCCCCACCTGCCACTCAATTCCTCCGCCGCCGCCCCGTCCACGAGCAAACAGCAGCGCCTCAACCCTGAGCTTAAATCTCACCTCAGCCCTCACATCCATACGGCCTGCCCCGATTCCAACGATATGCCTTACAGCAAAACACCCCGATCGTCCCGAGCCCGTGGTCGTCTCATGCAAAACGACCACACCCCTTCCAAAGCACCCTCGTCCTCTGCCAGGCCGTACACCTCTTCGAGGAAGCAACGCCTCAGTGGTCTCTACGCAGACGGCATCTGGTACTGCAACTGTGAACCCCGCTGTGAGGCTAAGCAATATCCCGTCAAGAAGAAGAGCCCCAATAAGGGCAAGCTCTTTTGGACCTGCGTCCTCCGCGCCTGCGACTTCTTCCTCTGGGATGATGATGCTGCCGCCCGCACCCTGGGCCTCACCGTAACGACCATCGAAGACCCTGTCCCTCGAACTGAGCCGTCTCCCGTTGCACCGTCTTCAACCCGCCCCAAGGGCAAGCAGCCAGAGCTGGCAGAACCCCCTTCGACCGCTCCAGCCGACCGCAGCCCCAAGAGCAAGATTTGCGACTTTTTCCCCAAATCACCCAGAAACGAGACCACCAAGGCGGCAGTGCGAGCTGCCATTGACATATCGTCTGAGGAGGACAATGGAGTGCATGCGCCTGCCGGCCCTGCTTCCTCCAAGCAGGCACCATGGACGGCGAGCAAACGCCATAGGAGCCAAGTCCACGAGGAAGAAGACCTGATCGGCGACCTCTCCTCCGATGAGGAACGGCAACTCAACGAGGCCGTGACGCGCAGCTCTCAGAAACTCCGCGGCAACAACCTCCAACCCCAGAGCTTCCTTACCCCTGCAACCGAGCGTACCACGGATCTTCTCAACGGCATGCCTACCCCGGCCACAGCCCGCGTTCTCTTCCCAGGCCCCAAGCTCAAGCGCCTCAAAACGTCGAATGACGACTTGGGCACCGTGTCTCCCGGCCTCGAAACCCGCAACAGACACTGCGACCTCGCGCACCCATGACGCC